TTGTCTGTACGTAGGGATGTGTTTTGGCAAGAATTTGGCAATATGACAAGTGTCATAATACAAGGGCAACGATACGATATGTCGTGTTATACTGCAGTACTCTAGGCTCTGAGTTTTTCTTAAAAACAATTTAACTGTAGGAAACCTGAGCATACGGTAGTAAGCACAACGCTGTTATCAGGTTATTAAATTCGAACAGAGGGATCTTCATTTGTTCTTCCTCAATCGTTACAGAGGAAATAAAAGCAAAATAAAATGAATATTTGTATGTTAATTGTTAATTAGAAAATCGATACAGTGCTGTAGAATATCGATATGTGATATTGAAACAGAATGTTTCAGTGTAGCAATATTTTCTTACACCTCTACTTGTTCATTTAGAATGGTGTTTTGTTACCTGAGGAGTTAGGATAAAACTGAATACAATCAAAGAGAAATGAAAGTCTGAATGTCTTCGCTTCATTAGGTTCAATATAGTTTGAAGAGACAAATCCAGGACGTCGGCCTTACACAGCTGTTATATTAGGTCCACTCCTCTCTGATTGTGTTGATATATTATATGAATAAGCTTTGACTTTAAAGAGAAACACATTTGGACCAGATGTGTCTGTGTGTTCATAAAAGACACACCATTAAATTATGAGGCCACATGGCTGGAGGACACACTAATACACACCCTTTTGTCTGACACCACTTCCCTACCTCTAACGCGGGCAGACAGGCCCATCAAACTTTCATACTAATGGGCAATCGTCTGCATGCGCGAGCACAGGACAGCCTGTATGTTTGTGTGCGAGGGTGTGAATGCGCATGCACGTGTCATCCAGAAATGTCTTGTCCCCATATTTTAGGTTGGTGTTTAGGATGGGACAGACAGTCATTGGGGAAAGGGGGAGGGTGCAGAGGAGGAGGGGGCTTTCGAAGGCTTCTGCTTATCTGATGGAAGTGTAGGGGGAGGATGGTGTGTCTTTGTGTGTGCTTGAATGCATGAGTGTGTGTGTGTGGGGGGGGGGGGGGGGGTTTTTTGGGGGGGGGGGGGAAAAAGGAGGATGGGCGCAGTAGATGTCCCTGGGGTTTTAGGATTGGCACTATGTTGGTATTAGTTCTAGGGTGATTGATTGGTCCCCACCTCTGGAAACAGTACTGCCTTGGTATTAGTTCAATAATTCTTTTTTCCTTTTTTTTTCTCTTAATGTTCTCCACACTAAAGATCTTACTAGATGAAAACCAAATTTGAGTCAAAAATTTGAAAAAAAAAAAATCTCTCCAAATCTCTGTTTGACCTCACTGTTCTAGTCTTCTCTTTCATCAGTGGAGTTTCCATCAGATAATTCCTTCTCTGAAGAATTCTAGAGGATGATCTCTGACACCAACCAGGCTTCTTGGTCTGATCCAAGGTCTGGAAGCCTGAGTTAGCTGTGTAAATAGGTTACCTTAATAAAAATCAAACACCTTTAAACAGTTGTCTTAGAAATGTTTTCTGTTGCAGGCACAGACGTCTACAAGGTGACACGACAATGAAAAACACTGATTTTAGTTTCATGTCCAAGTCTAAAAACATCAACATGCTACTTTTTGAGAATCTTTTAAACACAGCCTACTTCTGGTATCTTTTACTGACAGGCAATAGAAGGGGTCCGACCCTCCACTCTTTTATTGTCCACCTCACATTGGAACAAATGTGACATTCTCTGATGTCTGTGACACCTTTTAGTATGTGCAGTACTGTTTGTCATTTATGTCATATTATAGCCCAAAAAGATAAAAAATAATTTGATAAAAATGTATCAAAATCTTACTCATACCCTCAGTCCTCCTGTGTCCTCCTGTCTGTCCCTCCAGTTGAAACCAATTGAAGTAGTTGTTCTTACTGTTTGTCTTTCCCATCATCAGCACAAGCTCAGGGCACATCTAGCGTCACTAAGTGATTAGAGGCAGTGGTGCAGACTCAGTGTGTTTAATCAAACACCGTACATCATGAGCAGCACAGTCTGCTACTGAACAGCTCCTCAATGTTTTGTTCTTCATAGGCCGTGATGCTGAAACAGTGGCAGCAGTGGCCAATACTAGTGTAAATTTGTGCATGTCTACAGGCATTTCCACAACTGTGTGTGTGTATTAGTGCACCCTGCTCTCCAGCTGTTTCCTGTAAGCTATCACACTGCTCTTTGGGTTGCTAGGCTATATGTATGTGTGTGCGTGCGTGTGCTTGTTAAGTCACTGCCGCTGAGTCATTTTTATCACAATTTAGCAATGTGTCTCTCCCACAAAGAAGGGAGGGAGAAGAAACTCATCGGGGGGTTGGGGGCTGGTGAATGTGTGTTTCTTCTCAGAAACCTGTGTGTGTTCTTCAAAGAAGAGCTCAAGTCTGCTAAGGAATGACTAAACACTGACACATGGGGCTGACTGGGTGTATGTGTGTGTTCTTGCCTCAACAAGTGCCAAGCGTGAGAGTCACTGCCTGACTGTAAGTGAAGTGACTCACATGTGAGTACATGGCATGAATCGAGAGACACGGGTCGACCTGGGTGACTGTATTCAACTATGTCATTGTTTGGTGTTCGGTAAAGTTTGACTTTTCCTCTGTAAAAGAGTTCTCTAGCTGAGTTTCAAGTGGAGAGTGTGTGCGTATGACTCGCACATGGGCTTGTGAGAGCTTGTCTGTCGTTAGCATTTACTCCAAGACGAAGTAAACTTGGAAACCTTGGGGCTTCATAGCGCTGGCGGTGTGATCTCTCTGTCTTTAGCTCACACACATGCTCACTGTGGATCATAAAGGAAATGCCATGAGTCACAGAAGAACTCTGTGCCACTGCAGTAGTATAGATCGTAGAGCAGAGGGAGTGTCAGGCCTGGTGAAACAGATCGGTTTCTGATCACAGCTCGTGTCCCTCCTCTCATCCTCCTCCTCCTCTTTCTGCTTTGTCTACCTCTGTAGAGTGAAGAAAGTCCCAGTCCAAAGCGCCAGAGGCTGTCCAGTCAGTCTGTCTTGGAACAGCTAACCTCATCCGCCCCACCACCATCCACCCCGTCTCCCCCCATACGCCCATGGGAGTCAGGGCCTCCAAGTCGTAGACAGCCTCTTCCACACCCACACTACCACCAGGAGAGGTGTCTGACTCCAGCCCGGAACAGACGCAGGTATTCTGTGGTTTTTAGAGTTTGGGTCACATTTTTGGCCAGTTATGTTACAACATTGTTAAGTTTTCATTATTAACCTGTCTAAAAATAATAATGAATTGTCCTTTTGTCAGTGTTTTCAACATTAATCATAACAAATGAAAAGCTCGCTGATGGAGTTTCTGTCATACATTCACTTGATGGTCTTATTAAGAACTCTCCCTTCATTCCTATCTACAGTCCACCCGCAAGGCGTCAGCGGGGTCGTCTGTCCAGACCCTCCCGCCATTTGCTGGCACACCACCACCAGCCCACCCAAGGCCCTCCACCACGCTTTTCGCCATTGGAGCTCCAGGATGAGAACTACCACCACAACCCCCATCCCTCCACCCAGCAGACGTATCCGACACACACACCCAGCACTTACGGACAGCCCCCGACAGCTGGCAGTGGTGGCGGTGCAGGGTCAGAGGAGCCCCGTGCTTTCCATCCTCCCACCCTGTCACCACGGCTGCTGCATCCAGCTGCTCACCACCATCACCTCCACCATCAGCAGCAGCATCATGCAGCACAGCAGCAGCAGGGAGCGCTGGTCCTGGACCTGCACGAACAGGTAAATCTTCTGTGTTTTTGAGCAAGGCAGCAGCCACTGTCACCCTCTGTCTATGTATTAACTGTGGATGGATTCCTCCTCAGCTGCAGCAGAGTGTGCCAGTCTCCTACACCGTGACCCCCGTCCCTCCCCATGGTCTCACAGCTCCTCTGTGCAGTGGTCAGCACCTTCCGCCGTCCTGTTCCTCGCAACAACAGGTCCCCACATGCAATGTAGTTTGGGCTGGACAACACTACCATCCAGTGAGTAGGACACAGATGTATATGTGTGTTTGTTTGTTCGTAGAATGTACACTCAGTACTTTATAATTTATTTTTCAATACTCTTACCACTATACATGGGAAAGTATTTCAGCAGCTGTAGGAGTGGTCAGTAGGGCTGTACCATACTGGGAAGTCGGTTGTCTTAGTGTAGACTGCCACCTTGAGGCTACATACGGCAATCACCATTATAAAATACCAATGTATTTCAAAGGTTTTTAAAGTTCAATGAAACATTGAATCTTTTTCAGATGCTACAGGCGTGTTCAGTGCAGCATTTACCAGTGCCCTACACGTTTCCATCTCTGCTGTCCAGTGACCCTCAGTTCCTGCTTCCTCCTCCTCACCTCTCTCACCACGCACCTCACCTCACCGCACCTGGACAGTTCCTGCCTTTCCAAACACAGCAGCCACGATCGGTATGTTTACGAGTGTTTGCCTTCTTGAAGTTAACGTTTTTAACCTTTTGTGGCATAAGGGACGATGGGGAGGGAGGGGTCATAAATGTTATTTCTTCCTGTTCTTTTTTTTAATACTAACAGTTGAGAGGTCAACAGAAACGTAAGAAAAAATAGTCAGGCACAGAAACCGTAGGGAAGTGTTTTTTCCTAGTTCAAATAGCCTGAGCTGTGTCTCAGTTCTAGTCTAATGGGTCAGGGTTGGTGTCACAGCTAAAACAAACTGTTCTGTCCTCTGCTCAGCCTTTACAGACCATTGAAAATGAGGTTGAGCTTCTCGGAGAGCAGCTGTCAGTGGGCGGAGGCTTTAGCTACGCTCACCACCATCATCACCATCATCACCATCACCACCAGACTGCCTCCAACCTGACGCCTTCCAACCCTCTGCAGTTCCTCTCACACCATGACCCTCTGTCACAGGAGCTCTTCACAGTGGTCAGTGCAGTTTTTAATCACAGACCTAGTCTGTCTCTAGTTTCATGTTTCATCTGTGGACTAATAATTTTTTTGTCCATGTACGCAGCCGTATCCACACTTTGTGCCTCGGCGATTCACAGGCCGGCGTTACCGTTCGCAGCAGACAGTTCCTCCGCCACCCTACCACCCCAGCTTCCTGCCTTACTTCCTGTATGTATCTGTCACATGTTTTCTGTGATTAATGAGAAATAACTGCAGTCTACTAAATGCATGTTGTTCGAACCACTCACTTCAGGTCAATGCTTCCTGTGGCCCCGAATGTGGCCCCTACCATCAGTCTAGAGCTGGATGTTGATGATGGAGAGGTGGAGAACTATGAGGTGAGGTGAAGTGGTCAGAAAGAAAATACAAATTAATTCCTTTGTTAACCAGCACATATGACGTCAACAATGTTATGTGTCAATAACGTTGAAGAACAGAACCTGTTCCTCCAGTCGCTGTAGTTCATCGTGTCCTACTTTAAATGTTCCAGGCCTTGTTAAACCTCGCTGAGCGTCTAGGAGAAGCCAAACCTCGTGGTTTGACGAAGGCAGACATCGAGCAGCTTCCATCGTACAGGTTTAACCCCAACAACCACCAGTCTGAGCAAACACTGTGAGTATCGGTCTGTCTGGGACGCTGCACTTGTACTGACTCTCTGATGGATTGTAGTCAGATAAAGATTTTTTTTATACAAACATCTTGAAATGACCTGTGTTGTTTCTCCCCACAGTTGTGTGGTGTGTATGTGTGACTTTGAGTCACGTCAACTCCTCAGGGTCCTGCCCTGTAATCATGAGTTCCACGCCAAGTGTGTCGACAAGTGGCTTAAAGTAAGTAACGACATTCAGCATCATTTTAAACGCAATCGAGTTTAAACAAAAAAACTGACGATTAAATTTAAACCCTAGAGACAGAAAGTAAAAAAAATATAAAGTATTATAGGAATAGCAACAAATTCTGACTGCAGCTTCAAAAACAGAAGTTGATCAGCTGATCTCAGAGAACCAATAGGAACATGAACATCAAGGAGGTCATCTGGAAAAAAATGTTATATAAAAAAAAAAAGCTCAAATATTGACATATTTAGAGTTATTGTTCGTCATTGTAACAATTACATACAGGTACAATTTATATACAATACAGTAGGTACAATTTTTAAATTTTTTTTACTAAAATGCAGTCGCCCGTGGTGTACAAAATATTTTTTACTTCTTCACCTGACTTTTTTTTTTATATACCTTTATATACCTATAAAATATAGCCCATAAAGTACCAGTGTGGTGATGGTACAGTTTCCTCTGTGACTGTAACCACCATTATATCAGGTTCATCATTCACCTCTTATTGTTTTTCTTTCAGGCAAACCGGACCTGTCCAATCTGTCGAGCCGACGCCTCCGAGGTCCAACGGGACTCTGAGTGACCGCTGCCTCTTAAAGTCAGAAGTTACTCCACAGCTGGGACTCCCTTTGACCTCCATGTGTCTCTTGGTTTTATAGCCCAGTGAAATCAGCGACACATTGCGTGAGACCAGTGCTTCATTCTTCACTCACTGTCCTCCAGGACACCTCAATAATACTTCTCACCTGGGTTTGGTGTTCCATGGTGTCTAGACTCTCCCTTCACTGCCTCTGTTCACTGTACTGCTGGACTTCCTGGGCCTTCTGTACTGGACTACGACTCTGCCTTCCACTCACGGTTCTTTCCTTTATATAAAAGGCCTTTGCCTCACACCTCAACCTGAAGGTGGAAATAATATATTTGTATTTCTTTTTTTTTTTTTTTTTACCCTTCAGTCTTTTACAGAAGGACAGACTGTTCAAAAATCATTATTACTAACAAACCCTGAGTGAGAATTGGCAGTCCAAAGATTTGTATTTGATTTTTTTTTTTTAGTGTGGTTATAATTAGTTGTTCACATCCTGGTTTGCAGAGTCCTAGTTATTAGGCTTGTTATAAATACACTCACTTTTCTTGCATTCCTTCTCATCAGAGCTGTGTTTATGGGTTGACAGACAAGATGCTGGACACTGTCAATGGTGAAAGTACAATATATTTTCTCTAATGTGTGTGTGTGTGCGCGCGCCCGCGCGTGTGTTACTGTGGTATTTATACTCTTTGCGGTGGGTACAGTACAATGAGTCCCAAATCCTTGGTTTCCTGTGTTAACTTTTGTTTTCCACTCATTTAACTTTAGGACACGAGGACATTTCCCTGAGGGTTCAAACAGAACCTGCTCAAAGTTTCTTTCTCTTTATGCCACACATTTAACACTCCCATCACTACAGCTGCATATTTACACCATTCATCTGCAAAATGTGACAAAGCTGAAAGAGCTTTTGAGTGATATTTTTCTGCTGCAGTTTTCTTGAACAGCCCATTGTTGGAACAAAGTTGTTTATTTTCACACCGTTTTACTTTTGCTCATTTTTCAGCATTTTGCAGTTGAAGACACACCTGTATTTGTGTTGATTGTTCTCATGCAGCCTTTTGTGTCAATTAAACAGTTCCAAATACAATTTCCGATAGTTTCCTGTATCACTGACACAGAATATGTCCGTCTGCACATAGTTCTATACTTTAAGCTTACTGTCCAGAACTTAGAAAAGAAATATTTGCTCCATCGTAGATCTGCAGCAGTTCGCTATATTTATCACACAAGCTGTCACAAAAACAATGTTACTGTGGTTTTCTACAACGCCCAAAAATATATGACAAGTGCTCTGCAACATGATAATGTACTTAACAACATTCTACTGTGCTTGATGTACTGAGGTTTCTACTGGGAGCTACATTAGCGTTGGCTTCGAGTCGTATAACTCAACTTGTTTGATGTCACAGTTGTGGTTGAAGACTGGTGGTTCATACACGTCTCTAACAAAGAGGTTTGAACGGCAGTTAGGGGTCTCTCAGACATCTAAATACAATGACTCTTTAAACACATTTATTTTAGTTGACATGTTGCACAGCACTGGTGATGACACCTTGAGCATCTTAAAGTTCACAGTTGAATTTGGTTGGTCTTTTTTTAACCCCATAGTGACAGTTATTGCTGATGACAGTTTAAAGACTAAATTAAAGTCAAATCTATGTATTTTTCTCTTTTATCTGAGGACAAATCTGACACTACAGCACTTTAAACCTCTGCATACTGATTATTGTTCACAGTCCTTGTGCAAATAACTAATCAATTGTACACCAGTAGTACTCACCACTTCAGTTCATCCTACAGTATCCAACAGTTCTCAGTCTTGACGGCCATGTTGTCTCTGTGTAGACTAAACCTGCACAGATGTTTGTTAATGAGGCTGACGTTGGTTGTGTCAGTTGTCAGCTTCAACTCTAAAATCAAACTACGCAGACAGACATAGTTCAAGCTGATCACACTGTAGTTTGGATCAAGGTGACGTCAGCTTAAATGGTTGGTTCCAATGCAACAGCAAGATTTTACAGACTGGTATTTTCCAAAACATTCAGTGTCAACACTTCGGATCCCTCAGTTCAGTTTCATTTCAAATAAAATCCACAATCAGTGTCTGAGGAGGAGGAGTGCCCATCCAAAAACACTCTGTCCACCGATATCAGTTCATAAAGTAATATTCTCTTGTCCTGGTTTAAGAGTGAGATTTTTTTTCTCTATGATATGGTCCCATGTCACTATGGCTGCTGTACTCATCCTATTTTTGCCCTTCATTCTCTTCTGTGGCTCGGTACACTAGAAAATTACCTCAGTTCCACTATTTGTCTTTTCAGAGAACGCCACTGGTCTGATCCGTGCTTCTTGGTTTTTATTTGATGTTTTCTATGCAAGTTGTTGGGTTGTGAGAAAAATTTTTTTCCTTTCAGACTCTATGAAACTCACTCTGTGTTCTGGAAAAGGCTCATGGACATTTCTTCATGTATTATACTGTATCTGTAACCAAAATCATTTGAAGGCCCATGATAGAATTTTTAACAAAAGTTTGTACATTTTGTATGGGAGTTATTACTAGTTATACTTTATAAAGTAGTGCAATGTTTTTTTTAATCCTTTATTCCATCTTTTGGTCGTCAAAAGCTGGATCAATAAATGTATAACAACTTCTTCTAAAACGCTGCTTGTTCACTCATTCATTTACAGGACTTCTACTACTACTTTTCACCTGCAACTCTCACTGCTGCAGATAGAGGTCAGTGTTGTTGCCACGTCACAAGATCACAAGTCTAGATGTTCTTCAGGTTTTTGGTCCCATTTTCCAAAAACACAGGGATTATGGGATATCAAAATTTGAACAATTTTGTTGTCACATTTGAACGTAAAAGTATATTCTAGTTCAAGGTTAAACTGTAAACTCAGTTTGTCCAGATTTTCAAAAAAAAAAAAAAAAAAAATCAGCATCCAGACATTTATATAAAATTGTGATACAAGGATGCATTATGTTTCACATGTTGCTAGGTGACAGTTGCGTTCATTGTCTTTTCTCCTTACACCCTATTATAGTTCTTAAATGACCACTCAGAGGTTGTGTCTGGGGGTCACTGTTTGAATAGTCAGGTTAGAATACTACCCAACATTAGTTGTGTAAATTTTCCCTTTGCATTAATCCATACCTACAACAGGAGTCGTGGGCTGCCCCCTGGTGGAAGTGGAGCTTTTGGTGGACTTCAACCGGCAAACTCTGATAACAAGCTCTGTCCTTTAAGCACTACCAGGTGATTTGTCCGGATGATTATTAGAATGAAGAAAATCATCTCGTGAGTCATAACACTTCTATTCAACTGTATCTGTAGTCACTGCAGAATGTTCTGGATTTCACAGCTCTACCTTTGAAGTGACGCCTCCCGCTCTCAGCCTTGTTGTTTAAAAAAGTCTATCTTTGTGCCGCACGGTGGCAATGTTGTACTCTTTGCTCGCAGAGACAATAATCTATGTATAATTCCGATCACAGGTTCGGTTAAAGTTGTCATCTATTTGTCACAGTACAAAATATTCATATATTAATGCTAATGCTAAGGCCACTGCTAACGGGAGTTACACGTGCACTAAATCTCAACTCGAACGCAACGGAAGTGTGATAATGATTATAAAGCAGTTATTTCATTTATTTTATCGTGTTCAGAAACCATTTTTTGTGTGTAAAATGTTTTTATTTTGTTATTCTATGTCTGTTCAGAAAACGTGACCTCAAAAACAAATCCACCATGTCTGGCAGTGACAACATAAAAGGTGAGAGTACTTTTCTGGCTTTGACTTTAATTCCGGCTACATTTTCCTCTCATTGTTGTCGTTAATTATTTTGTTGTTCAACTCTTATGATGTTCACTTTTATAATTTGTTTTATTTGTGTTCTGTTTTGGTTGTTTTTTTCCCTTGTCATCCTTGTTGATACCTCTGTTTTTGAGCTTTTTACAGACATTTTCTTTTTTTTTTTTTAACACCTTATAAGGAATGCATAATTGGACTTCTTCAGCCTTTATCCCTCGTGTTTTCTTGTCGTTGTAGAAAACTGTTGGCTCTTCACGTTAGAATTGTGTAGAATTGTTGGATTTTTAGTTAAATGCTGTACCCTTGTGGTGTATATATTTAACAACCACAAATGTGAACTATTGGTCCAACAGGATTTAATAACATTCTTTTTTTCTTCCTTCAACTGATGAGAAGAAACAACAGTTCCTACCCGTTCTCATCCTCCGTCAAGTTCTTTTTTGAGCTTCATATTCATCAGTGAGTGTATTTTGTTAGAATCAGTAATTCATTGAAGGAAACTACTGTCAAGAGTTTTGGCTCATAGTTGATCTGTTGTTTCAGACAGTCACTATTGTAGGATTACTTGTCAGTTTGAAAAATATCACTTTTTCTGCTGAACATTGTCCTGGACCATGTGACTGCCTCTAATTCAATCTGTTGTCCCTGAGGATTATGGGGAGGTGGGTGTCGAGCAGCGTCAGTTGAAACCCAGGAACCATCAGATAGTCAACTGAAAACCAGTGAAGTGCTTCTAAAACAATCCTGTCAGCTCAGAATGTATGTTAAAATATAATGAGATCTTCATCGACTCACTCCTTTCTACCAAATTAATTATTTCAAATCTTAAACCAGAGCAGACAGAATCACAAAGAAAGACAAAATCTTACTATTTAACATGTACAATCAAAACTAAGGGAAAAAAACTACTACTGGAGTTCATTCAAGGTCAAAGTCAAGGATCTAAGGCAGGCATGGGCAAACTAAGGCCTGGGGGCTTGATGCGGCCAGTTCAGGTTTTTAATCCGGCCCACCAAACTCTTCCAAATTATATAATTTATTAATGTTATCATTATACTTCTACCTTTTCCCTGCAATACCCATGTTTCCCCATTAGATGACATAGAAAATAATAAAAGCATTTAGCCTTTATGCATGACTTTTACATGTCATTTATCTTAGTTCACACAAAGCCTCCATCTATCTGCTCCTGACTCGGCCACACCTGTTCAGTTTTAGGACAATTGTGGCCCGAGGGTCAAAACGTTAGCCCACATCTGATCTAAGGTTTTATCCAATAGTTTTGAACAATTGTCTATTTTTCTTATTTTTAAATAAGTGTCTTAAAACTGAAAAACATACACATTTACAAAACATCTGTGAAAGCAGTTTACCAGGACCAGCGCAGATCATTTAACACTGAGAGTGTCCAGCAGCTATGTGTGTGTGTGACAGATAGGAGAAGAACGTGTGTGTGTGTGTGTTTTCTCCCCAACCTGCTGACTCAGCAAATTTCATCTACAGATAAATAATTCTGGGACTAAAACCTTTTGGAGAGTTCAGCTTTGACAGTGAAACCTGTTCTTCTCAGTGGTATGTGATTTATCGGCGCCACCTTGTGTACCACAATGTCTACTGGTTATGAACACATAAATACAACATGGCCGCTGCAGTGTTGTCACTTTTATGGTGAACGTGATTGTTGTGTGAGAGACGGGACCGGTGATGGAGGAGGTCAACAACAACCTCCATCTTGTTGACCTGGCTAAGGCTGACACACACACTTAACACACACACACAAACCTAAGTAAATCATAAGAATGAGTGTTGTCCAGAGGAGTTCTTCTTCCTGTCCCTCTGTCTTGGACACAGACTGCGATCACTGACATCATCTCTTCTGCTTCATTTAATAACTTCCCAGTTTCTGCATCACTCAGTGAAACAGGAAATGTATCAACAGACTCTCTGAGCTTCTCACTCCATCCATTATTACTACAGCAATCTCCTCAATCTGCCATGGATTATGGAGGAGTGAGGAGCAGAGAGGTCTGGAGGAGTCTTCACCTCCTTCCTCTTCACTGCTCTCACACCACAGTCTTCCTCTGTCCCTGCTGTGACTCCACTCCAGAGAAAATACTCAGTCCTCCACTCACTCTGTACTTCATCAGTACACTGGTAGTGTACAGATGCAGTACTGAGTGTACTACAGTGATTGGTTTAGTTAAACCTGTGACCTAGTGATGAGAGGAGTGGGTGTGTTGACAGAGGACTGTAGGTTGAAATCTCACCTTGAGCAGGAATTTCAGAGGTTAATAAATAAGAACTTGGTGGCAATGTTTTCCCGAAATACAGGTGGTGCTATAAACACCGCCTGGATGATTAGATTTGAGATGTACAACTACATAGTATAAAAAAAGTTGTTGTTTTTTTGTGAACTGACAGCACAGAGCTTCACTTTACTGAAAAATATATGAACCTCAATTTGTCTTTTTTCTCTGCAGGTTTTATTTATTTAAATTTGACATGTATTTGTTTTGACATGTAAAAATGCTAGTTTCTTAATTACTATTATTTCTCCGTGTGTGTTCATCTCTTTGTCAGGAGGAGACAGCGGTACACACTGGATGGAGTCTCCTCCTCCTCCAACACCGTACACCTCCTCCACTGTGGGCTCCTCTTCTCCTTTTACTCCTCTCTGGTCGTCACGGAGTTTGGTCTTTGGTGAACACCGACTTTACCAGGACTGTTTCCTGACGAACCACTGCCTCCTCACCCCGGGCTGCTGTAACCCGTTTACGTACGAGAGCTAGGCGTTAACAGGAGGAAGTGAACTTGGGAGAAGTGACTGCTGCTGCTGCTGCTGTTGTGATTCCTCTTCATTCACACTTGACACTTACTTCGTACGGTGTACTTTGGCTCCAGATGATACGGCTGGTTTGTGGCTGAGGCGGTGGAACCGAAGCGCTGTGTCCTGGTTCTGTTGGACAGTACCGTTTGCTGTGACATCTGTTGTAAACGGGTAAAACTTCTTTTTAACTTTTTTATTTGGCCAGAGGCGGACAACCGAAGAAGAAGTTACTCAGAAGTGTCCGGCAGCAGCAGTACTGGATATTTGACCTCATACAAAGATCGTTTCTGAGGAAAGAGAGAAAACGACAAGATTGACCGGCGTGATGACACCCAGCATTTACCTCCTCATCCTCACCATCATCCTCACCTCCTTTCTCACAAGTAAGTTTCTAACTCGTGTCTGTTGTGAAGGGTACATACTGTTGTTTAAAACATACGGTTTCATACGTTCATACTGTTATTTACTCGTTTGATATAAAAGACAATAAAACATGTCGAAAGTTTAGCTACGAATCACATAATTTTTCTTCTCACAGCCATCACTCAGGCAAATGAGCTAACTCATATGAGGAGAAATGGATGGATTATGAAGGACAAGGATTATTTAAAGTTTAGATTTTCATGGACTAACGCCGGACAGTTTTTTTCCCCATAAGAGATGAAAACATAAATATTTGTTCATTTCTGTAACGACAACACTTAAAAATCACAATGACCACAGACAACATAGGCAATTGACTAAGGCGCCAAATGATGGAGGGGGAGATCCTGGAACCATTCAGAAAAAAAAAATCAGTCAAAGTCAGTTTTATCATCAGTTCTGCCGTTTGGACAGGACGGGATTAAAACTGTGGTTCTGTCAGACCCTCAATGTAACGACAATTGTATAAAAAATATAAAATATATCTAAGTTTAAAATGTAAACATACAGTAAGGAAGCTAAAACAATTTCAACATAAGTTGATGGTGTAAACTAATATTGGTTTACAACAGTGATGGTGAATAATAAATAATACCATCATCTAATTTCATGACATTCCTCTGTGTCCTGTTGGTCTTTGAGAGTGGAACAGAGTGGAATATTCAATCACTGCATCTCTCCAAAGAGTCAAACTCTGAAAAATATCAGCTCAGACAGGAACATGGTCAAACATTAGTCTGCAGCATCCATCAAGCCACAGATCTCCTCTGGTCCAGGTTTGAATTATTAAAAAGTTGAAACACACCATGAAGGCCCAGAGCTCTGCTCCTCTACTCCACTGCTTGTTGTTGTTGCCAGTATCTGTCTTCCTGTGACAGGCTGTAGCTCCAAAGACAATCTGTCTGGCTTTTTAGCACAACCTTCACCAAAAGATTTGCAATAAAGGAAAAATAAATGAACGGAAATTCTTCTAACTCATCCAAACCGTCGACTGTCTCCAACCAAATGCACCGTTTGCGTTCAACTCTGAAACTATTTGTTAGCTTTTATGCTAACTGTGAAATAGAAGTTATAATATTCTGCATGACTGGGTTTTTGTTTGTTCACTGGGTCTGAAATATAATGTGTGCGCGTGCGTGTGTATCCACAAACCTTTAGCCCTTTAAGTGTGTTGAGTTTAATCCCATGGCTGCTGCTCCTCTGTCTGCTGTGTAGGCTGCAGGTCGGAGAACGCTGAGGAGCGACTGGTCAACTACTTGTTAGGTCCAGAACGCTACAATAAACTGGTCAGACCTGCGGTGAACAAGAGCCAACAGGTCACCATCTCCCTGCAGGTGTCTCTGTCTCAGCTCATCAACGTTGTAAGTATTTTTATGTTTCTGTTCATGCATTCTGAGCTACATAGACCTTTGTTTTGTGGGCGTCGGAAGATCAGAACCACAGGGTTCTTACCTCACCTGGTTGACTGTGGTGTGTCGGGCGAGCACCGAAATCTCTCGCTCCTGGGGACAGATTAAATAAGTATAAATATGTGGGGCTTCAGAGGCCTGAGGTCCATCAGTTATTATGGGTCAAATGTCTGTGTCTAAACCAGTTTAAACCAGTCTCTAACTGTTTGTTGAACTAACTGGTGTTTTCTGATGCAGAATGAAAGGGAGCAGATCATGACGACCAACTTATGGCTGTGTCAGGTACAGACGAGTGACATCACTGAAGGTTACAGTCTGTGTGGAATATGCTGTTGATTCTGGTCCAAGATTTTCTTCATGAACATTCTCTTGGCAGGAGTGGAATGACTACAGACTGAGGTGGGACCCAGACCAATATGAGGGCATCAAAAAACTACGGATTCCCTCCAAACACATCTGGCTTCCTGATATTGTTCTTTATAACAAGTTAGTAGAAGCATGGCTCTCCAGTACGTAACTGTGTTTTGTCCACTGGTTCGAAAAGATTTGAAAAAACATTTCTTTGAATTCTACAGTTAGAATTATAAAAAGACTTTCTAACAGAAATGTTTACTATTGATGGACATTTCCATTGAATTTTGGTTAAAATCGTATGTTTGCTCTGAAATCAAAGCGCCTCATTTCTCCTCTGTTCCAGTGCTGACGGTGTCTATGAGGTCTCCATCTACTGCAATGCTGTGGTTTCCAACACGGGGGACATTTTTTGGCTTCCCCCAGCCATCTACAAGTCAGCTTGTGCCATCGAGGTGCAGAACTTCCCCTTCGACCAGCAGAACTGCACTCTGAAGTTCCGCTCTTGGACCTATGACCACACCGAGGTGGACCTCATTCTGACCAGTGACTTTGCCAGTCGCGATGACTTCAAACCCAGCGGTGAGTGGGACATCGTGTCGCTGCCTGGACGTAAGAACGAGGACCCTGACGACATCACCTACCTGGACATCACCTACGACTTTGTCATCAAGAGGAAGCCTCTGTTCTACACCATCAACCTGATCATCCCCTGTGTCCTCATCACCTCACTGGCCATCCTGGTCTTCTATCTGCCTTCAGACTGTGGGGAGAAGATGACGCTGTGCATGTCCGTGCTGCTGGCTCTCACTGTGTTCCTGCTGCTGATATCAAAGATAGTGCCACCCACCTCACTGGCAGTGCCCCTCATTGGTCAGTCATGTTTGAATTGTCACCAAAGTTGATATGTGAGTAGAGTAGATAAAACTACATCGATCCCACACTGGGGCAATATGGCAGAGGTAGAAAAGACAGTCTGTCTGGATTTTTATGGTTTAGTTGACTGTTGTTTAAGGTCAATACTAAAAAATAGGACTAACTAACCGGGTGTTGATTTTACTGTACAGTGGAACCTCGAGATATGAGCATCCAGGACCGAGCTTGTAACTCGAGGTGCTCGTATCTCGGAATACTCGTATGTCGCGACGCTCGTATCTCAAGGTTCCACTGTGCTGTTATTAATTCTTACCATGTCCGTCTCTGGTTTGTAGGAAAGTACCTGATGTTCACTATGGTTCTGGTCACTTTCTCCACCGTGTGCACCGTCTGTGTCCTTAACGTCCACCACCGTTCCCCGTCCACCCACCACATGCCAGAATGGGTCAAGAAGTTATTCCTGGTCCAACTGCCAACCTTCCTCCTCATGAGGCGCCCAGGTTCATCCAATGTCCGTGATAAACTATGCAGGAAGTACGCACTTCCAAATAGCACTTCCAGGAACTGCATGGGGAAGAAGCAGTACTCCAACATCCACCTGGGCGGGATTCGACCGGACACCGACTCTATCTACGTGAATGAGGACCTGGCACAGAAGTATTGTTGGAGGATGAGCAACCTCCCAGAGGATTGTGCAGGGGTTTCAGAATCACCCCGGCTTTTGGCCAGTCAGTGGGATATGGATCTGGAGGAAGCCGTGGATGGAGTGAAGTACATCGCTGAACACATGAGGACTGAAGAAGATGATGAAGGGGTAAGGAGAAAAAAAAATCTGGAAAATATAATATCACTGGTTTAAAATAGAGAAAACAGATTAGACCGAGATGAGATGAAAGCAGCTCACAGAAAGTGATGACTTCAGCACAGAGGACGACGATAAGATATGGTTAATTATTCAGTTTCATGCTCTTGTCTTCCTGACATGGTTCCAACCTGTCAGTCATCTCCCTGTTCTCCAAAACATCCCAGTTATCCTCAGGGAACCCTTCACACACAGATCTAAACCACAGGAAAACAGAACCTGCTGTAGAAACTCAGAACTCTGCTGCCGGGCTCCTGAACCTCCACCTCTCCACCCTGTGTCCAATAAATATTTGAACAAATCAGTCAGGTGGAAAATGCATACGGCAGGGTTTGTTTCTTTCATTTTCCCTGGTTAAAAATACATCTTCACACAGATTCAGATTCTTCAGAATATCTTTCAGCCACAGGGGCAGATAAAGGAGAGATGAAAATTACCCCAGTCAAATGCTAGGTTCACACAGTAGGCCACATTAGGCCCAATCCACCCGAACGAGTCGTCAGTCTGAACCATCATGCTGCTCAAAATATCATTGCAAGTGCAATACAACATGGACCAGTTTGCACACTGCCTCTCCAACGTGACCCTCGTTCTTCTGGTTTCAGATCATCGAAGACTGGAAATACGTTGCTATGGTGATAGACCGTCTGTTCCTGTGGATCTTCATCTTGGTGTGTGTGGTGGGAACACTGGGCCTTTTCCTGCAACCGCTCATCCAAAGCTACAACATACCCACAGCTGATGAAACTGAGTGAGTCAGCAAATTTAATGTCAAACATTTGACACGTGTTACTGTGTTCCAAGGAAATAAAGCTGCGGCTTGTACTCCAGTTTAGAAAACAAAATATGAGTGTGAAAATGTGCCTTGTACTTTTTGAGCAAGCAGTATGAAACATCAGATTTTCAATAGAAATTCGAGCCATATATTTCCTAATAAAGGAGCACTAAAAAAAGCTGAGTTCCTCAGCTCAATCTCTGATATTACTGTTGCTCACTACAATAAATTCTAAAAAGAGCAGATTATATTTGATGTGCTGTCGTTTCCATGAAATTCTGATGGATTGATGTATTTACACTGACCTACTTAATTACTACTATTACTAATTAATTTATTTAAAACATATGGTTAGAGTATAAAATTATGCTTTTGATGTGTTTTTAAAGAGAAACACAGATGTTTCTACTTGTTGTGTCAGTGTTGAGAAATATTTTTGTTTCTGCAGGATTGGAGAATTCTAGGGCTTTAACAACACAATACGGAGAAGGCCTGAATGAACTTCTTTTACAGTAAGTCTTAACTGTCCAACAATGGATGGACTCAGACGGGTCTCTATTTCTGGATGATAGTGGTAAAAAAAGAAGACACTGAAGTCTGGTAGTTTGATCTCAAATAACAAAATACATTGGTAATGGAACATGTTTTAACCTTCGTGTCTTCACTGTCAACAAGGGCACAAAGATATTTATAGAGTTCAAAACATGAACACTCAGCTGTTCAGCTCAGTTTTTACATACAAACAAACTCCAAAAGGCTGATTTTCTGTGTGTTTTTAATCCATACCTCAAGCGCTCTCCTTTACGGTACTGATACTGTGAAAAATCATATTATACTCTGAATGTGTGAGACACAGTACTTTGTCTCCTCCAACATCATAAAAATATGAAGTACACCTTTTTTCCTCCTGCCTTTTACTTGTTCTGCTTCAGAGCCCTGGACTTGACTCCACCATCCATCTGCTCAGCATTACTCTGCACATTAATTCACTGTTATATTTAAACACCGGTTGTTGTTGTTGTTGTTGTTGTCCTGCTTTATTCTGACACCTAAAATATTTCTTCATAAAAAGTTTTAATGAAAACTTCCGCAAAAAAAGGAAAAGACACAAATGTTGTGAAGATAGAGAACGGTCGTTAGAGCTGAAGGAAAATCACTGACGTTTGGTTTTATGAACTTTCTAGTAAATGAAACACTCTCACAGGCACACACACACACGAACGCACACACACACACATGCATCAGTTCACACAGTGTACACTGTTCACTGACTGTACTCTGTCACAACATGTGGAATAAAGACTGTGATTTTATATTTGTACTTTGCTGTAGTTTGACAATCATATATATGTATATGTACACATATATACATGTGTATATATGTATATATGTATATATATATGTATATACAGTATATATATGTGTATATATATATATATACACCCACACCAGGACACGCTTGACTTGGCTTTTTCTGTACCACTCCATGATATATCCTCTACCTTCTTCTAAGTCCTTTATCTCAGCAAAACTGAAACACTGTTTCTTGAGGGTTAGCTTGGTGGATTCAGTGTGTCCGTGTCCTTGTGTGTGTGCGGGGGGGTGGGGTCTTTATGTGTGTGGAAGCGACATTCTGCCACCCTATCAATATGAGCTTGACAGGAACATAAAGGTGACAGATGTGATGTTTCAGTGTCTGGAGAAACGATGGCAGAGCAGAGCAGAGCAGAGCAGAGCAGGCCGGCGGTCGTACTGTTGTATTAATGTCATGTTGTTGTGCAGCTCGGCTCATACATCAGTAACACATTAACAGTGTTCTGTTAATGGAAAAATACTCTCTCCTCACCTTTGTACGTACAAATCCCATCTCTGGTAGAAAAATTAAACGGCCGCACTTTCTGAGCTTAGTGTTTATTTATCAGGGAAACAAATGCAGAGAAACTTTGATCATTGGTAAACATCACCAAATATGGAAGGAAGTCCTCCAGACATTTGGGATTAGACAGAAAACGTGATGCTGTGTACTAAAATTGAGTGAATTTCATCTATTTGAATCGTTACATTTCGTCACCTTTTACCCTCTGTTCTTTACACACTCCTGTACTTTTGCTTGTGTGGCTCACATAGGCAGAAGAAAGGCCTCAAAGAACCTTTTCACTAACTTGGTAGTGACAGGTGTTCATGGTCTGTGCTCTTGTCTTACAACAGAAAGGTCAGCAGTTTAATCCCTGGGTCTTTCTGTTTGCTGATTACATGGTGTCCCTGTGTGTGAACGTCAGGTTTCTCCCACAGTCCTAAAAACGTGCAGCCTCAGGTCAACAGGTTAGCACTGAGCATGGTTAGCCTCGTGGTGATAAACCCGCTTCTTTACTCCAGTCTGTTGAGGTTGTTCTCTATTGTGAACAGAATTTATCAGGAGGCTCAGTGGTCGGCCTGGAGGCTGGTTCTGCTCCATCTACCAACACTGCACCTCTCCTCCTTTCATTAACCTCGTTCCTCTCACTTTATCCATCCATTATTCCACATTCTAAATGTTTTTATTTGCTTTCCGCTGCTTCCCAGTCTTTCGTTAATTGCTCGTGAAGACGTTGAAACTAAAAATACACCGGTGATAAAACCAAACGATCTCTCCCTGCTCATGCTACACGCACATAAAGCCAGTGAAATGGGCCAAGCTGTGAGCCACACACCAGTATCTGTATGTCTACACCTGGTAGTGTCGTAGTTGATTTCACCAGCTGTTATTGGCTGAAGAATCACCACAGCCACGTGAAAAACATCACTACAGTTAAAGCTGCACCACTCTTATAAGTCACAAGGGTTAAAGTCTTGATGGAAATATACTGTATTTACAGACTTCTAGCATTGTTGTATAAGCCACACACTGTGTATTAACTTGACTGGTTAGAGCAGGCATGGGCAAACTAAGGCCCGGGGACCGATGCAACCCTTTCAGCTTTTTAATCCGGCCCACCAAACTTTTCCAAATTATATAATTTATTTATATTATTATTATTTGTTTGCCTTTAGCATTTTAGCCTTTAGCCCTGACTTTTACATGTCATTCATCTTAGTTCACACGGACACTCCATCTATCTGCTTCCTGCGGTCGTAGTTCATTGCACACTTGGTGAGGTCTATACCATTTTGGGCCACATGTGTGGGCCACATGTATGGGCCGTATGGCATTTTAGTTTCTCTGGAGACACGAGAGTTGCAGCACTAGCTTGAATGTGCGTGTGATCTGTGTGTGTGTGTTAACTTTAGGCTGCGTATGTGCTGCTGCTGCTGACATAAATCATCCTTATGTAGGTCTGGTGCACAGTCAGCTGTATGCACACACACACTCACACACACACCTGAGTGTGCAGAAGTGACTGCACTTGTATTACAGAAGCGAGGCCTGTGTGATTAGACTCAATCAAATTACACAGTGCTTTAATCGTGCTTGTGAGCAGACGAGTGTGTGTGTGTGTAGGAGTGTGCACCTGCCTGTGCACATGTGCGTGTGTCTGATAATCCTCTGATGTTTCTGAAATCTACAGGGACATGTGAAGTAGTAATAAGTTGAAACCATGGATTCACCCGCAGACCACAGCTTTAATGTAAGAAGATGTAATGTTAGTGATGTATTAAATGTAATGTAAGTTTTAATCAGGTCAGTGACATCAACACAGTTCAACACAGTCGATTCTTCACACTGAAAACTGCTGTCCTAGCTCTGTGTGAACAGTAACTTTGAGGACACCGACTGGGAACACTGTGCCACAGTCAGAGGGAGAATGAAGCAGGAGCTAAATAAATGGGAATTGAGGTCAGTTAGGAGACCTAGAAGAAATCAAAAGACCAGAATAAACCTGAGAGCTTCAGAGTGTTCAGTGCACACTAACTATTCACAGTTCACAAAACAGCCGTTTATAAACTGATATTTACTTAAATCAAGAGGACTCTTGGTTTGGTGATTTAGCCTTTAACACTTACTTATAGTCACTAATAAGAAATGCAGGTGAAAGGGTAGGTCCTTGAGGAGGTGCAGGTCCTAGAGAGAAATAAGCCATCATTAAAATGATGGAGAATTTGATACAAGGGACAATCACTGGATTTGCATGTTGTTAGCTTGAATTTACCATAAATAGTAACGTCATTATATGTTGTTTGATTGCCTTTACAGAAGGATAATCCTGTTGCCGGTCACTTCTGTTTTCTCTGAGATAAAATACATAGAACCTATGGAGCATATTTTGTTTTGTCGTTCACAGAGCAGTGGTGATGTTTGTTTAGTTACAGATTATTGTCATTTTCCTTCAATTTCCTGTCTTTTACTTTTGGGTTACTTGACTTTGTTGCTATTTATTTTTGTTATGTAAAAAAATGTAGCAATGAAGCAAACATTGAGATCCACAAGGAGTGTTCATGTGATTGTACACATTTACAGTGTTAAAAAAAAAAATCAATGAACCCATAATAATCCTGATCGAGTGATAAATTCTCTTGTAAGAATCGTACCCAGGAAGTCTATAATCGTGACATCACTACTCCTGACTCTACGGCTCTGTCTTTCCCTCTCCACATAGAGAAGAGGCCACGTCCACCTCCCTTCCTGCTGGAAGCTTCCAGAAGCTTCTGATCACCTCTGCTCCATTAAACTCACCTCAGTAAGACGGTCCTGCCTTGGAGTACAAATACAAAAGGGGCCATCCACATTTCATTAGTGGGGGTTGGAAATAAAAGCACTTCCACAACAGGGTCAGAGAATGTGGTTCACATGTGTGAATGTGAATAATTTACTACGGCCTAAAAGTTGTAGCGAGGCACAGAGATATTTTTATGTGTTGTGTTTCAGATGAGGCAGAAAGATGGCGCCGGTGTGCGCTGTAAGGACTGAGACCAGAGGGCAGAGGAGAGCAGGCAACAACTGAACACAGCGGAGTGAGTGATCAGGCTGAAGAGGAGAGACAGGTTAGAGAAGTGAAAACTGGACAGAGAGGAAATGGAAAAATGGCTCTGAATGCTTTTTACTCAATGCATCCAGGTTAGAAGGAAGAACAGGGGGCAGATGAATTAGACACAGCTGATGCAGGTCAGTACAATGGGGGCAGGTGCTGTGGTGCATCACCTTAAACAGGCCTGGCAGAAACATTGATTCTCACCTAGTTCCACACTGGAATTGCTTCACTAATAATAAGGCCGGTGAAGTCGAGCGTGTCATGAGGCCTCACTGAGAGCAGATGATTTCAGTGGCAACACATATGTGACGTCACTGTTTTTTCTTTGTCTGTGCTGGTGAAAAAATCTGTTTTTTGTAGGGATTTTTTTAAATTTTTTTGATTGGCTTTATCCTGTTGGAGGAGGTCTTAGGGTGATGAGCTGCTCATGGCATGTGATGTCAGCATCAGTGTAAACGTGTATGCTCTATGATCTCAGATACTAGAGATTCACCTGAGGCCAGACCCAGTGTTTTTGTTCTTCATTGGATGTTCTAACATGTTTCACAGGTGGTTACTGACAGAGACCTAATCATTTTCTCCTTCCCTCTCATCTTACTGTGTTTAAGCTTGATAAACATGGTAGGTAAAGTAAGAAAGTAAGTCCAGATCAGAGCCTGAGTACCTTGACGTATGCATTTGACTCACATTCCTTTATAGATGACAGCCTTTTAGTGCCAACTCCAATTTATTTTTAATCACACACAGAATTAAGGCATTGACAGTAATTATGTCAACATTATTTAAAGACAGAGAATTGTGGAAAGAACTGCCCTGCCGTCAGCAATGATGTGATGTTATGGTTTATCAGCCGCTGAAGCCTTACGATTTTCCAAGTATTGTACTTTTCTATGAAAATATATGAACTGTGTCTGAATGAAGAACCGATCTCTACCTCTTGGTTCACAACAGTTCAACTTCCCTGGCTCTGCTTCTGTTAATTACCTCGCTTGATGACGTCAAACTAAGCGTGGAAAATGACAGGGTAAAATTAAACTTAATCATCAAGATCCGTCTGCTTGAACAGACACCGGAGTGCCGCTGGTAATACGATCAGGACCTTTGACGAAGACAGCACAGCGCTCTGCTGCAGTTTAGTGGCCGCTGAAGGAAACGACAGAAGGAAATAAATGTGAAGGAAGTAAACAGTAACAACTCGAGAGCATACGTTAGGTTCAGACATATGTGCTAATGTCTCGTAAGTGATGTCTGAAGTTAACTGACGTAAACCTAATAAAGCTGAACTGATTTCAACACCTCGGAGAGCGCACATCGAAGAGTCGCTCACTGTGACGCTGTCCGGGGTTCTGAAATCGACTGCACTCCTTATTCTACAAGTTATTCTACGTTTGGTCTCATTTCTCAGCTCGCAGGGGCTTTGTGTGTAGTTTACTGTCCGTGTGTGTTTGGTCACAGTCCAGGATTATTGTTCACTCCAAATTGACCATAGTTGTGAATCTGAGTGTGAATGGCTGTAGGTATTAGTGACCCTGTGATGTCCCGGCTCTAACCCTGCCCTCGCCTGATGACTGCAGGGATTGGCTGCAGCTGCCCCCGCTTGTAGTCTGGGTGGATACGCCAGATCCTGCCTCACAACGGGAGCCAAGTTAAGTTGTGCTCAGACCAGAAGGAGCGCATCGACAGAGAGGGGCGGACTACACCAGGGGAAAGAAGCGCATCTGAGGGAACGTTTCAAGTCATTTTTATAGTTAAACTGTTGTCAAACTGAGTTTTTCTTTTTTAGAAAAACAGCAGAATAAAGAAGACATGCGGCCGACAGGGAGACTGACCTCGTGGCTTCTCCTCCTGGTTATGATAACGCACGGTAAGTGATATGTATTTAATATTATCCACGATGGTTTTCTGTGTGTTTGTGTAGATACTGAGAAGATGAGCTGCACGGTTGCCACTACACAGGTGTCACCGCCGCACGATGACTGCTTCATTTTCTTTCCTGTAAGTTTATCTTCTTCACTCAGCAGCAGTGAAGAGTTTCTGCCCTGATGAAACGGCGTCATTCTTTGTAGGGTTTTTTTAACCCCCCGTTAATCAAACCGTCTTAAAACAGGCGGGGTAGATATTAACTGCATCCATGACTTGGTTTTGTTTACGCATAAAATAATGACGGACCGTAGCTGGTTCTGAGGGGACTGCCTTGTCATGGGGAGACACTTGCACCAAACCGTCTCCTAAACTCCCTTTCCTCTCGTCGCGCGGATCATGAGCGCCCTCAGTGAACCATTATTTGCAAGCGCTCACACATGCTGTGGGAGAGGTGTGTGTGTGTATATATATATATATAGCCAGTGGCACGGTCCCAGGTTGATCACCCTTGTTGACGTCAGATGTACTGAAGATTTAACTATATTATCTAACTATTATTTATATATATATATATATATCACTGAGGTGCTGAATACGATGTGTGAGGGGAATGGGGGCACCACTGTCAGTAGAGCAGCTCGTTGAAAGAATGGATTTTAGTGGCTTCTGACTGATGAAGAGGAATGGTGAATGAAAAAAAAAAGTTGCTATAATATGCACATTTCCATGTAGTTTGAGGGACAGGCCTGGAGGCAGCATAGCTGAGGTTTTATCATGAAGGGATTGGAACCCGTCAGGCAAAAAGAAAAAAACATCTGTAGTAAAGTCTTATCTGTTGGATCAGATTAGTAACATTGTTTGGTTTCTCTTGAGTTATGACATCAAAGACAGGTCACGTCTGAATGATGAATTCATCTTTTAAATTAGTGACTTATTTGGTGCTGTCTAGAGGAGTGAGGATGTTTGTTTTCGAGACAGGAGGTCATTTTATCAGGTACCTCCTACTAGTCCCTGATTGGACACTTTGATGGTATTGGTGGTATCATCTGTGGGCTGGCCAACCATGATGTCAATCTTTATTTACTTCAACTGTGTTGAAAAGACCACGCAATAAGACTGTGACTCATCAACCTGTTCTCACTGTTATTAACAAGTAATGAGACTCAATTTTCTTTCTTCATCCTTTTGTCCGATGTCATTGAACATGTGTGAAGAAGAGTTTGTTCTCTGGCCAATGCTCCAATCACAGCCCTGGTCCTTTAGTCATTGGTCGTCCAGTGACACCTGCTCTGATCTTTCTGATCCATCTTCATAGTTTGCTCAAGTTCAACAGGTGTTGTCTCAGGACTTTTCTACAAACCTGCTGTGTAACGGTCCATGGGTCACGTGCTCTCTCTGCTGCTGTGACCAACTCAACTCCCCACTGCAGGAAAGTACAGATGTTCTCGATCTTCATGTCTTCTGTTCTGTACTGCTGACCCTTGGATATTGGCTTTTCTTTGGCCCATTTCTGTGGACACGTGTCATGTCCTACTAGATCAGGTGTTTTTGGAGCCACAGACCGACTCCTCTGGCACCGACATCTCTGCACTGTCATACAGTACATCGCTACACAACTCTCCTGTGATGCTTAACTTGACCATAGACACGTCACTGACCTCAGTTGGTACCAAGACATTGTCTGCTGAGATATTAGTACTAAAAAGCATTGAACTGATCGTTGCTATAAACAGGAAGGTGAGTGTGAATGTCATCATATTAAGAATCAAATGTTGATCATTTTAAAGTTGATGAAAAGGATGAAATTCTCTCATGACAGAAACAACTTCAGGCTGATTTGAGACGGAAGAACTAAAGGAAAGCTGACAGTGAGGAAAGAGACTGAGACAGACTGATTATTGGAAAAATCCTAATCACTGACCGCAGCTGAGGCAGAGAGCCTGGATCTAACCCGGGGCCACAGCATGGAGTAGATGAAGGGGCGGGGGGTAATTATGCTGCGGCATTTCAAAGCATCAACGCAAACATTTGCTGGAAGGGCACAAATAGCAGCAATCTGATTTATGTGAGCTGGCTGAGCCTTTTATGGTTTATCAGCCGTGGCACACATTCCTGTGTCATGCATGACCTGCCTGACTGGGAGGTGTTTGTGTGTTTGTGCGTTTCCTCTCATTATTTTCAGAGCGCTGCATAGATAGATGATGTGGGCTTCAGAACTGACTGTAGAAGAAAAACATTAGGTGTAATTGCAGATGTGTGTCATCATCACAATCCACCCATACATTTATCAGACTTGAATTCAGCCACAGCCTGAAAACATGTATACATATATGTATATATGAATTATACATTTCTAAAAAATAAGGACACATTATTACAGTGCTCCGGTCTGTGGTCCAGTCTGTGCTTCATTGGTCCAGTCTGCGTTTCTGACCCAGGCCATTCCACAACTTACTGCTGATGTGTTGTTTCAACCTATAGGAAAATTCTGCTCCTCGTGTTCACGATGAGGCTGTGCTCTCTGAATGCATGACTGATGATCCGCTCAGTGCCCTGGGAGATGAGGTGTGTGTGTCTGTGTGTGTGACCAAAGAGAAGATGAATGTGTTCAGGGTTACTTCACACTGCAGTACTACTTCACTCAGCCGCTTGTTGTCATCAACATTCCATTTCAACGTGTCATGTCTCCGTTTGGTTCATTGTTGCCGTCAGAGATGTCACTTCTGTGGTAGCTGGGCTTCAGTAAATACTCTGCTGGCTGAATTCCAGCCGGATGTTGACATCCGTACCACCGCTTGGGGTGAACGTCATATTTGTCCACCTGTACCTTGGCCCACTTACGGCACTGAATATGGCTACATGGAATTCTGCATTTCTATTTGATCTTCTCATTTTGAAGGTGAAAATTGTACATTATTCATTCTGCAGTGAATTAATGTGAGCGAGTCGATAAGTGGGCAGCCGAGTGTGAATGTGACTCTGTGGGATTAGGACCCAGTGTATTAGTGTAAAGGTGGGTGAGGTTTGAGTCCACAAAGAAAACTTTGAATTGACTGTTCCAGTGCTGATGTCACGGCTCCGTAGTGTTTTACCATATGAGCCTCACACAGATATTTTCTCTCACCCTTCATCCTCTGTTATCCTCTACATCTCTCTCTCTCTTCCTCCCTCTCTCTCTCACACACACTTCCTTAAAAGCATTTGCATTCACAGGGGAGAACGGAGGCTAAATAGCTTTTACAGTATCCTCTGAAACAGGCTGTAAAATGCCCCCCCCTCCTCCCTTTCCTCTTCTTCTTCTGTCTTCTTTTCTTCCTCCTCTTCATCACTCATTATCCCTCCCTTCACTCTCCTCCGTATGTGTCCTTCCCATATTCACTCAATCATGGCCTTGAATGACCGGCTCCTCTGAAACGTTCCAGAACAACCATGTGTCCACTTCCTGTCCACGGTGCTTTAGGTATCTCTCCAGACCTACTGTGTCTTTGTGTCTTTCTTTCTATAAGTGCTTTCTTTACAGATTCTGCACTTGAATAATTAATATTACACTTTGGAGTACAATAAGTGTAGTCTAGTGTCTAGATTTTTTTTTTCTAATCACTGAACTTCTTCTTTACCCTCTTCCCCACAGTTTGTTGTTATTTACAGTCGGTTCCTCTTTTGGATGTTGATCATCTCTGAAGTCTAGTCCTGATGTTTCCTCCCCTCGTCTCCCCCTCTCCTCTCAGCCTCTGTGGGGTCGTCCATCTAAATTCTTTGTGTCATTCTCTTCAGACTGCTGTCACTAACAGTTCAGCAGCAGCTGTGATTCTGCTTGTGGTCCAGGTGTCAATGCCGTCAACACGGAGACACTTGTCTTGAATCCCAATGTTCCTCACTCCCCTGTTCTAGAGTCACTTTGGTCTAACAGGAGAGGAGAAACCTTCACACATCTCTGAGGAGACCGAATCACCTCCTCTCTGGGTGTGGGGTAAATTCTTTCTTCCTTGTGTCCTGGTTTTTTCCCGTCTCTCCAGGTGATGGGTTGGAAACTGGACTTAATAACGAAGGTCTCCTGGGCAACGGAGCTAAATTGAAATGGAATGAAGGGGTGAGAGTGAGGGAGGTTTCATTCAGCTCAGGGTGAAAGGACAGACTGAGGTCATTTATGTAGTGATGACCTTTTCCCTCCTTCTCTCCTCTCTCCTACAGAGCAGTCTTAGAAAATAATATTTCAGAATAATAGTCTAACTAAGCCTTTAATTCAAGGTGGTCTTTCATCAGACTGACTGGTCTGAAGTCAGAGCCTGAGGCCAGAAGTCACATTTGAATGAACTTCATGTCCCAGAATGTCTTTCTTTGCTGCTTGTCTTAATAAACATAACTTAATAAAATATAGAATTATAAAACATTTCATTTGTGTTATTGTTTTAAGTGTAAATGTTTCTTCTTCTCTCCTCAGACTCTGTGGCGTCCAAGGCAGAAGACCGGCTCTTTAAGAAACTGTTCAGAAGATACAACCCGTTCATCCGACCTGTGGAGAACGTCTCTGACCCTGTGACTGTGGAGTTTGAGGTTTCAATCTCACAGCTGGTCAAAGTCGTAAGATTTCCTCCCAACACATTATTAAAATGTCAATCACTGAATTGATGACAGGTTTGTGAATAGAAAGTGAGCAGAGGTCAAAGGTTAACAAACTCACTCTCTGTTCCTTATTTACCAACTCCGAACTCTGTAGATCAGGGGTCAGGAACCACATATTTTAAAATGGATTTCTGTGAGAGCCATACAATATTTTTTTTTTCACTAAATGGGTGAATGTTTAAACAAGACCAATAATTTTAGAGTATAATGAATCTCTGAAATATTAAAACATTAATAGTTATAGTAGTTATTTAAAAGAACATTTATCATATACTATCCATACATAAAATACATTAATGTGACTTCTGGTGCTGCGTGGTTTTGATGCGATTGGCTCCAGCGCAAAAACATAATGGTTTCAAATGTGTAATGGAGTTATAAATATCTGGTCCCACCTGCCAGACAAAACGGTTTATTACACACCAAGTAAGAAAAATCTTACGGTGATTGAATGCAGCACCCCTGCTGATTAGAGTCGTGAACCCCGGGGAGCAGCAGTCGCTCTGTGCGGTCCTAATGGTAGGAGGTCCATCATTAATTAATTGTATTATTTTAATTATCATTAACTATACTTTTATTTAGTTTATATTTTCAGCATGAGACGTGTGTGTGTTGATATACAATGGACGGACTTTGTTTTCACTTTTTATGCCAGAAATAAAAGATGACGTACCAAGCTGATGCTTTTACCACAATGGTGCTACATCTTACACAGTGTATTTTCTTTCTCTGTGTTTCCACAGGATGAAGTAAACCAAATCATGGAAACAAACCTGTGGCTCAGACATGTAAGTACATGTTGATTATTTTTTAGTATTCCATCCCTTGACCTGATCTTTGGCTGCGTGCTGATGTGAGCAGAGGTCAGAGGTCAGCTGTAGGCACACATCCAAACATACTAAGCAGATGTTGTTCACATCTGCCAGCGTCCAATCAGCTGCTGATCAATAATATTATCATGGTCTGTCATGCTCCGCCTCTCTGCTGATCTATGGCACAGACCTCCAACAGCCTTCAGTCCAAACTAAGGTCCGGGTCCATAGAACTGGTCATTATAGTTCGGTCCCTCCATTCTCCACTGTCCAAGGCAAAGAGCAAACGTATGTCAGTGACAAAAAAACACTCACTGAACACTGATGAGAGTCAGTGTTTGGAAATGTCAGACTAATGAGATCTCCAATTAAAATTGTCCTGAAGGCCTTTGAACGCCTCTCACTGTCTGCAGTGACTGTGCTGTTTGGTTATTAAAGGCATCACTAATGAGAAATTGTGTCAACAACAAAGTCCCCACTTTGAACCACAGCCACTGCCCCCCCTCCAAATAC